TCTCTGTGAAGGTCTATTTGTGCTCATCTTTTGGCATCTTTGAGACATTTGTGAATAATGCTTGAAGAAGTTTTCAATATTACCTTCAATGTTTTTGCCACAAACAAAACGGGCACCTGGAAATGAAAATGCTGACCTGATTTTTGGTATTAGTCCATGACACAATGAGTGGCTCACATAATAACAGTGTTCCAGGTGCAATATGAAGGATCAGAAACAATTAAGTAAATCTCATCCTCTGACCACACAGGAGGTGGAGCACTTTCATGCAGAATCTGATTATTTCCAGTCCAGCAGCTCATAAAATGAACATGTAAGACTGATACAATTATTTCTGACTCGCTACTGGCAAGCCCGCTTTTGTGGTGCTGTTAAACACTTCTCCTGTGGAGGTGTGCACACACTCTGCAACCTCAACACATGGGGGTGGGGGTGGGGGGGGGGCATATCCCTGCAGCACCTAAGCATTAAGAATTAATCTTCAAAAACAGATTTGGTACACTGTACATTAAGAGGAGCAGTTCTTTTCTGCAGTTACAAGCTTCTTTATTGATTAGGTGTGCAGTAAAGTGTTTTAGTTTACCGATACAGTAGCTTTACAGAAGATGAATGCACAGTTTGAGATGTCTTGGACTTTAAGATTAAATAAGTGTTAAACCTACAGTGCTGTGAAAAGGTAAGGTTTCTTCTGTTTTCTCTTTTGTTCTTCTGTTTATGCTGCTTTCAGTCCACACCAAGCTGGACATTTGTGAAAACATATTGGTACACTTGTTAAATCATGAATTAACTCCAATTAAACACATCATTTGGAAAGCTGAGTGCAGTTTTATTAGCCATAATTAGACCAGATTTTTGTCAGACCTGTAGAATTGAAAAATATTTCTGACAACGTGAAGTTGGCCATACGATCTCAAAAAGCAAAACAGCAATCTCTGTTCTTCGGAAAGTCAAAGTGTTACAATCAGCTATTAAGTTTAGGGGTTCAGATACTTCATATACAGCTAGGTTGGTCTACTGCAGGGTTAAGCCTGGTTTATGCTTCTCCGTCAGCTCCGCAAGGGACAGACACGCACGGATTGACGGAAGCGTTTTGCTTTCATACTTCTCCGTCTCCTGGAGAGCGTTGCAAAGCAATTGCCCGGCAGGACCACAGAGGGCGTAGCGCTGTTCTGTGGTATCCTGTCATGTATCGGTCCAAGATAGTGTGTTTACCGTAAATCCTCTAATACAGGCCCGGGCCTGTATTTGACGCAAGCTAATCAAGCTCCAGGCCTTTATTGGAAGGAGGGCCAGTATTAGAGGCAGGCCTCTATTTCTAATTGAGCAAAATGAACTAATGGTTCGCTGGAGTTTTTGACAATTAAAATTGCGCCCACATTTTCAAAGTTAATCACATTTCTTTTAACAACGGTAGTTTCTGCTTCAGCCATCTCCCCCCTCCCCCTGCTTCAGCCCTCTCCCCCCTCCCCCTGCTTCAGCCCTCTCCCCCCTCCCCCTGCGCAGCGGCCGCAAACTCACTGATGCGCCTGCAGCCTCTCAGAGTTCCTGCTGCTCTAAACATTAAAATAATTATTTCATTTTCTGTTCCTCACTTCTGATGACCTTCAATGGTGTCTGTTTGTTGCAACAGCAGGTACAAAAACTAACTTGTTTTTATTTGACTATTTTTCTGTCCTGTCTGTTTATTATCTTCCTGCATCTCCTCTCAATCCTAAAGAAAAACTGCTACCTGGGTTCATATATATTCACCTCATGAGTTACCTTTGAACTGCAGTTCTAAAAGATCTACCGACCGCAAAAACAGCGGAGCGCTCGCTGTTTGGCGGCCGTATCAGTGATCAGTGCGTCGGAGGACAAGGTGATGCGCGCAGCGCCCCGCTCCACAGCATGCAGCGAAACGCATCAGGCGCAAATAAAAGACAGAAAATATTAAAGGAAATGAACTGACATGAACGATCGCGTGTTAAATTAGTTTTTGAGGTGGCAACACCTGATTGTTACTGTGGCCGTGCTCAGGAGGCAGATCTACCGACCGCGAAAACAGCGGAGCGCTCCCTGCTTGCCGGCCGCATCAGTGATCTGTGCGTCGGAGGACAAGGTGAAGCGCCCCGCTCCACAGCAGCGATACACATCAGGCGCAAATAAAAGACAGAAAACATTAAAGGAAATGAACCGACATGAACGATCGCGTGTCAGTACCTATGCTCTGACACAGCGCGTTGCCCCCCTGAGTGCAGGAGCTTGTCACCTGCTGACAGCAGGCTGCTGTCTTTTCCGAGGGCTGCATCTTGCCGGTCATTATCACGTGACAGCGACTAGTCGACGACAGGCATAAAAAGTCACTATAGTGAAGTTGACTAGTTCATACAACCCCTACTGCTGCTCTCAAGAGTGTTCTGCAGCATAATCAGCACGTTCTCTTTGAACTTGATAGTGTAATGACCTGGCTGGGGTTGTAAGCCAGGTGCATTCTGGGTATTGTGTTATATGTGTTTCCTATCGTTCTGCTAGTTCCTATGTGCTGATTTGCGTGTTGTGTGAGTGTTATGTAAGCCACAGGGAAGGTGATGTGTGTTCTGTGGAGCAGGTTGAATTAGCATGGTTAACTGACACCGTGACTCTGTGTGGTAGGAGCGTGATAGAGGATCGTGTCTGTAGCGTAACAAAGCGTTGAAGAAAAAGCCTATTAAAGGTCTGCGTGAACCCCTACTGCCTCCTGCTGGTTGATTTGTGGACTATAACCTTGCCGCTGGGACGCTCGTACTTGCTTGTTACCACATTCCGCCCGGCCACAATAAGAGACCGGCCATTATTTACCTCCGCTGACTCCGACACCGGCCGAAATTGGAGACCCAGCCTTTAATTGAATACCGGCCTGTATTAGAGGATTTACGGTATATTGTGTTTTTTGTGTATATAAGAGACTTTTAACACGGACATATTTGTCTCTCATTCTCCCACCGCTTCATGCGCTCCCCACCTCAAAACCCATGTTTCCTGTCATTTCCGTCCACAAATAAAACGCTTCCTGCGCATCTTTTCACTCCTCCAGTCACGGGAGAATTAAACGTTCATATTTTTAGAGTTTTTTCGCGAGGTATTCTTCAAGCTTCTCTGTGTCTGCCGCTAGTTATCCTCGGCTCTCTTTGCAATGGCGGCGCTGTAAACAACAGCGGCGTCCTGACCAATCACAAGCTTGCGTAATCCGTCTCGATCGATGGATGTTTAAAAAAGTGGGCTCGACTCCGTATGTACTTGCGTGCCTGCCGGAGCCCTACGCAAGGACGGATAATGGCGTTACGTGTGCTCCGCACTGACGCAGACGGAGAAGGATAAATCAGGCTTTATTCAAATGTAATGGTCTGAGGGCCACTCAACAAAACACACCTGGAATTGAAGGGTCCGGATGGGGTGTGGGGTTCTGCTGCTGGATTGTCGGAGCGGGGGGGGGGGGGGGGGGGGGGGGGGGGTTTACTGGTGGTTCATTACACCAGCCTGCCATATAACAGCACAGTGCAAGCACACCGCTGCCATTCCTACACTAGAGGTGTGAGTCTTCACTTGTTTCCTGACTCGATTACGATTATTGTGTCAACAATTCAATTTGATTCGATTTCCCGATGCATCACGACTATTTCAAATGGATTTGTTTTCATCAATAAATAGAAGATGTCAGATAATTTGTTATTATTTTTTTTCCAAAACGTGTCTGACACAACCTGCAATCCCCCAAAAACTCTCCATTCACAACAGTCCTTAGGACAAAAGATTTTAAACATGTAAGAAGATTTAACAAAGTAAAAAAAAATCTATTTCCTCATTCAACAGTCACTCCTTAGGCTGAGAAAAACATGCTTTGCAAATACTCACAAATCTGAAAAAATACTGAAAACCTATAGGACACGTCCAATTGTTGCTTTCAATTTAAGTTACAAAATCCATAATGGGCTCATATATTCGTATTTAATGTCTTTGAGCAGCTTTAGAGTCAAATCTTTATGCCACTGTTCAAGGGTGTCAGAAATAACACCAAATGAAATGATTGACTTAGTTTGTTATGTAATTTGAACCCAAAAATCTCATTTCTGAAATGTTGGAGACTGAATCAAGTTCTGTTTAATGCAGAAAATAATAAAACATAAAAAAAAATTAAACTACACTTCCAATAATATTTAAGATGTTTAATGTGGAGGTTGTGCACTGGATTAGGATTAAATTACCCATCTGACTAACCAGCTAAAAAACCTTTCCAGTAACCTGTTCTGTGTGGCCCTCACCACGTGACCCTCATGGCCATGCTGTCTCTGGAGGAGCAGACAGGAAACAAGATCTCCTGTAACTCCAAATAAACCAAAGCTTCCTTCTAATATTTCTTTAAATTGAATTTAACATCAGTTTACCATCATGAAACAAAAGAATAAAGTGGAACAGAAACTTCTATCTTCTATTCCTCTCCACTTTTAACTTCTCCGTGTCCCTAAATAAAAGGGACAGCTGATTATGCTGTAGCCACCGTCACTGACCCCACTCCCTCCCCAAGACCGGACCTCCCGACATCACAACACTCAGTCTGACTGAGCGCTTCCACGTGAAATAATAATGACATTATGAAAGAAATGCGTGTTTGGAGGAGTGTCCTCTGATCCTCTCTCTTTTGAGTGAGCAGACAACGTGCCCCTCTCTATCTCTCTCTCTCAGACGCTGTTTGAGTGAGCAGAGCACGCCAGTGGCAACCCGTTCAATTAACACAATTCACGGGCTGATTCGGTTCAGATTCGGTCTCAGGTTACAACTCCAGCGCTCAGCCCTGCAGTACCACATAAAGGCAGACCAAAGTTTCCTACCCGGTAAATGTGGAGAACACCCATTCTGACAGATTAGGATGCTACGCTGGTGCCGCCTTAAAATAACACAACTACATTCCACTATAATTGATTATGCTACTCTTCTATGATGCTGAATCACATCTCATGCATTGATTATTTGCTTATTTTCCTCAGCTCTATCCTACACCTCCCGGTCGGCCATCGGGCATTGGGGGTGGGGGTGCGCAGGGTTCAAGGGCCACAAAGAGGGGGGCCACCTATTGAGTACCGCCGGTCTAATGTCTCAGGTATGCCCCCCTGCCCCTCCAAAAAACTACATCCATGGGGTCATTCTTTCTTCATTTTTGCATAATGGACCTTTAATCAATGAATAATAAATTCAAACTGTATTTTGTATTTACTCAGGTCATCTTGATCTGAAATATGAGTTTGCTAATTTCAAACACATGATGATGACAAAAAACAGAAGCAGAAAACTAATCAATACTTTTCACAGCACAATAAAACACTAACAGCCCACTAGGTCTGCATCAACTACTGCTAAACAAGCTGCCTTACAGCTGGAAGAGTCCTTGGTTTAATGTAGTTTATGGTGTTATGAGATAGTCGATTATTTGAATTAGCAACAATTCACAAGGAAGGTGATGCCAGTGTGCTGTAAAAAAGCTAAACAAGTCCAACATAAACAGAGTTTTATATCAGTACTGCACTGGTGGGGGTTTAGCTATGTGGTCACTTCTTAAAGGCTATTCATCTTCAGTGTCACCTGTCTAAGTTCAAATTAATTGGTATGAATGCAAACATCTCAGTATCCTCCAGGGTCTGTAAAGAGCACACCAAGGCCCTGGTGCTTTGACATTTATTTACTCATTTGTCATTAATCATATTGTTTGAACCAAGTTTTAGACAGATTAGGTCAAATAAACTTCACATCATTCTAGCATTTTTTTTCACTCTAAATCAGTTCAAACTAAAACATGCAGGACACCGGCCCTCCAGGACCAGGATTGGGGACTTCTGCTCTAAATCAAACCATTTTGTCTAAATCTTAATATTTCCTTCCCTTTTGTTTTAAATGATGATTTATTGTAACCAAATGTCATGTTGTCCGGTAGGAACCTTTTCTAGTTTTGAAAAAGGAAAGAAAACTCATGAATGTCAGTGATTTTCCTTTTTATGTTCGTTTTCTTAACGCGTTTAATAAATTCTGAAGTTTCATGTGTAGGCCCTGAAGAATTTCACACCCTTTTGAAATTTCAAATAATATACTCCAACCACTTTGGTTTCAAGGCAATGAGCGAGTGGTGCTGTGAGGGTTTTCTTTTGATTGCGGAGTCACACGACTCAAAATCAGATGTTGAACTCATCAAATATAACATAAAAACAAGTCTTGAAAAAGTTGCTTTCCTACATTTTCTGGTCCTGCACAATCATCACTATAATTATCCTAACTCCTCTTGTCACCATCCATCTCTTTCTAAAATAAGCACAGGGGTGGTATCTTTAATGCAGTAGCTTCCAAAGTGTGTGCTTTTCTGGCTCAGAGCCCAGGGGGGCAGAGGATGCTCCGGTCATAAAAAGAGAACGTTTGAGAATCTGAGGACCTCATGCAGGTGCATCTCAACTGGATTGGCTCCCATGTGTTAAACCATTTTATTCACCAAGTTTTTTGACCCAGGCACCATTATTCACCTGTTCATGTCAGATTTGGGAAAGCTGAAGGCCCTAAATTTTAATGTAAAATAGTCTTTGTCATTAATAATCTTATTGGCTGTGCTTTATGTTGGGCAGAGGTTATTGCTTATATGTCTAGTTTGAAATTGTAACTATATTTGGAGTCACTGTGCCTGAGTTATTCATGTTTTCCATTTGCGTGTTTTTATTTGTACTACTCTATTAACACCAGCACTCTAATAATGATAATTTATTCTATAATGTTTCATCCTTTGCATTTTGTAAACATTTCAGAAGCAAAGAAAGGTCTCATGTTTGTATTTGCCAGTAGTTTATAAGAGGAGCACTCAGTTAAACAATTGATGAAATGAAACCATGCCACTGGCTAGTTAGTATAAGTCTAGATTTAAAAAATAATGACCACATATTGCACAGTGAACAAAACAAGGTATGCCATGTTTTCCTTCTGAATATGTTTTTTTGATAATGGAAGACAGCATCTATTGCACAGAAAATGTAAAAACTCAACAGTTTGTCTTTTTTTCTCAACAAGTTTGAAATAACAGTTTAATTTGCTGCTATTTCTTCAAAATTATTTTTCTGCCCACAGCAGAAATATAATCAATAAGCTTAGTCAATGCTCTGTTTCCCGTTACAATGAAACATTCCTAATATATTTCCCCCAATATTAAGCAACACAACAAAGGTATTTAATAACTAAAAACAGCTGAAAGGCACACGTGCACTGGTGCAGAAAGTTAATTTGTCTGAATTCTGCTACAGACACTCACTGAGACGTGACATGCACGTCTTTCTCTCAGCTTCACCTGCATGTAAACCACACAGGGCCACAGTCGGTCGCGGCAAAAATAATCTGATGTTGGGCTCAGATATTATTTTAAGAGAGGACAGCGGCGGGGTGAGAGGTCCACAAGAACAACACAAGCAGTCATGAAAGAGGAGAAGATGAAAGGCTTGTCACTGCTTATTGCTGCCCTGCACATTGCTATCAATATAAAATGAGGACAGGAACATTATCACCATGGTAGAGAAAGTCAGAATGGGGACAAAGAATATGGTGAAGAAGATAAAAAGGATCTAAATCAAAGAGAATCTTTACATCTTTACATGCAGCAACTACAAACTCTTCATGTTGTTGTGATTTGCTGTTAGCTGCAGCTGTAAAACTGGCATTAAAATAATGGTTGATGTTGCACTAATTAAAAAAATCGGTGACATTTGTTATCACATAAACAAACACGTACTAACTAGCCTTGGATGCTGCTTTATATTTATGCTGAAACTGCCCTGTTTATTTGTCTATGATTGAATATCTAAGAAAACTCTGTTTCCTAACAGGACTCTTGACAAAAAAAATGGTTAGACATTAATAAATGACCATTTGTGATGTCAGAAGTAAAGCATCTCAATGAGAAGATCTCAGTGTTCATGTAAAGATGAATCTGGAGCCTGTGATACAGCAATAGTGCTCCCTGTGTAGTCACAGAAGAAAAAAACTAATGCAACAAATGATCAAAGATTTGTATTTGGAGAAAGAAACTGGGCACTGCAAATGCTACCTTTGGGACTCACATTTATACTCAATCTACAAGCATTGTCTCCTCCTGGCAAAAGTCTGTGATCCCCTCGGAGCAGTAAACTGTTTGCAACTACCTTCTGGGGATTTTAGTACAGTTACTAGCTTCATATTTTTTCCTTAGAAGCTAGGCTGTGCCGAGAAAGCTGAGATGTAGAGCTCTTTCTCCTTTAATGTGTAGACTTCTATGTGATGACAACATTCACCAGAAACAGGATCCCTCTTAAATATTTGTTTTTCATCCTTTGTTTGGGGGATTAAAAATTGTTATATTGTGCATCCCATAGAGTAAGAAGACATACATTTTTACATTTACAGCTGAATGGTTGATGCATGACTATCTGGTGAGATAAAAATACAATCGATACATAAAAATGCATCTAGCGAGCAATGTCTTCAGTTTTGAGGAACGCTTTAGTATGTCCCACATAAAGCTTCAGAGTCTTCCAATTTTTTATTTTTATTTTTTTTTATTATCCTTTTCTCACTTTGGAGTGTAAATGCACCAGAACAATGTCCATTCATCTAACTGAGCATAGCCAACATAATAGTTTTCAAATGAGATGCAGATAAATACACCTCCCTTATGCAAAAGTATAAATTATAGCTCCCACTCACAATGCAAGTCATCTCAACGCGAATTACAAAGCAAATATTCACATCAAACAGAGCAATGTAAATGACAAAAATTGACATGCTAAGTCTACAAAAGCCAAGATAAAGCAGTAATTAAACTTTTGTCATGATTGCATACATAAAGCTGCAGTGAGGCCAAGTATTCAATAAAAGCTAATCAAATAACCACTTAAAGCCCCCTCTTGAGAACATCTCACAAATATAGCTTAGACCTACTTGTACTTGGTGCTTAATGCAAGAGAAGAGAGCTTGAGGGGTTTTACCAAATGAAAGAGGCCTTAAGTCATAGTAATATATATATAAATATATATATATATATATATATATATATATATATATATATATATACATATACACATATATATGTATATGGTTTCAAGTCTGACATTATTTTATCCCTCTGTTTACATTTGCCACAAACTGATATTCCCTGTAATGCAATCACAAAATCAAGACAACAGATTGGTTTCATTTCCATGTAAATTTTCAACCACATAAACAAATCATGGCATTTTTTCACTGTCAATAAAATTGTTAATTTAAGCAAAATATTTGAAGGTAATGTTTTAGTGCTAATTCAGAAGTCAGCACTGAAGGTGTATTGTGTGACCAAACCCTTTCATGGATTGGCTGATTCCATTACTTTTGAGGGATTTTACCAGAATCAAAATATGTGCAAAGGACAAGGAAACTAAGCTTTTTTTTGAAGGAATGTACAGATTACAAATTTAATTATCACGATTTTCCATTTCTTGCAAAATTGCAAAGCTTTTCTAATGCGAGAATGCTATTTAGAAGAGTATACATTCAGCATGTTTTACAATAAACCAAAATTCTTTGGAAAGCACATTTGTAATGGACTATATTCAATTAATTTATGTTATCTTCAATTTATTTGCATTGCATTTAGAAGAATAAAAAACAAAACATGGAAATTTCAACAAAATGTTGCCATATATCAATAGATTTGAATGACCACTTGAGCTCGTATTTGTCTTCACTTAATTCTTAATTTAGAGAATTTCATAGAAAGTCTCAGTGATTTATTTTTCCATGTTTCCACAGGTAAACAATAGGATGGTGTCTGGAGAGGCAGGAGGGCACAGCTACTTGGTGGCATGCTGGCAGCCCATCCTGATCTTGATGCTGGGCACTGTCCTTTCTGGTTCCACCACTGGCTGCCCTTCAAGATGTGACTGCAACGCACAGGAGCGTTCAGTCGTGTGCCACCGACGGAGACTGGCTGCTCTTCCTGAAGGCATCCCCACAGAAACAAGGCAGTTAGACCTCAGCAAGAACCGTTTGAAAACTCTGGGGCCCGAAGAGTTTATTAATTACCCTCAGCTGGAGGAGTTGCAACTCAACGAAAACATTATCTCATCCATTGAACCGGGGGCTTTTGGGAACTTAATGAATCTTCGAACTCTAGGTTTACGTAACAACCAGCTGAAGCTCATTCAGCTAGGGGTGTTTACAGGTTTGACCAACCTGACACAGCTGGATATAAGTGAGAACAAAATTGTCATACTGCTTGACTATATGTTCCAAGAGTTGTATAACCTGAGGGCTTTGGAAGTTGGTGACAATGACCTAGTATTTATCTCACCTCGATCATTTCATGGCCTCAGCAACCTTGAAAGTCTCAATATTGAGGGATACAAACTGGCTTCGGTTCCCACTGATGCCCTCAGCCATGTTCATAACCTGTTGTCTCTTCGATTACGTTATCTGAACGTCAGTGTCATAAGGGATTACTCCTTCAAGAGGCTGTACCGACTCAGAGCACTGGAGATTTCTCAGATGTCTGCCCTAGATACAATGACACCAAAATGTTTGTTTGGACTCAACCTCACTTCGTTGTCTGTCACAAACTGTAATCTTACTGACATTCCCTACCAAGCCATCAGTCACCTAAGATATCTTCGATTTCTGAACTTGTCATTTAATCCCATTCATACTGTGGAAGGAAACCAACTGTTCAATCTACAGAAGCTCCAGGCTTTTCATTTGGCTGGTGGGAGGTTGGTGACCATTGAGCCCTACTCATTTCGAGGACTTAACCATCTCCGTGTTTTTAATGTATCAAGCAATAGCTTGAGCACCCTACAGGAGTCTGTCTTTCACTCAGTAGGCAACCTGGAGACCTTGGCTTTGTTTGGCAACCCCTTGTCCTGCGACTGCCGGTTACTGTGGGTCTTCCGTCGGAGGTGGAGGCTTAACTTTAACAAACAACAGCCCATTTGTGCTTCACCTGTGCTTGTGCAAGGAAAAGAGTTCAAAGATTTTCCAGATATACTCCCTTCTGATTACTTCACTTGCCAGAAATCAAAGATTGTGGATTACAAGGTTCAAGAAAGCCATGTAGATGAAGGAACTACAGTATATTTTTCGTGTAAGGCAGAAGGTGATCCATTTCCAATGATAATGTGGCAGTCTCCAAAAAAGGAATACATAACTACCAAGAAACTGGGGTCAAGGCTCTCTGTGTCCAGTGAAGGTACTCTGGAGGTGCGATATGCCCAGATCCAGGACAATGGCACCTACATCTGTATTGCCAGTAATGCAGCAGGCAATGACAGTAAAGCTGCCCACCTTTTTGTGCATAGCTATTCTCCAAATTGGCCCCACCAGCCAAACAAGACATTTGCTTTTATATCCAACCAGCCAAGTGAAGAAGCTGCTAATGTGACCCGGGCAACGGTTCCATTTCCCTTTGATGTAAAAACACTTATTGTTGCAACCACCATGGGATTTATCTCTTTTCTTGGAGTGGTCCTCTTCTGCCTTGTATTATTATTCCTCTGGAGTAGAGGGAAAGACAATACCAAGTCAAGTATTGAAGTTGAATATGTGCCACGCAAAGAGGAATCAGAGGAAGCCAGTCCAACTGAGGCACCTGTACAATTCAATATGAAAATCATGTGAATCCTACGAGGAAGTTATGTGAGCTTACAAACTGCAGTTGGGATGCATACTACCATTGTTTAAAATATGTAATCGGTTTATGAGTGGTAGCACAGCTCAAAGTGCATCTTGAAACTATACTCAACATTTTTTTTTACTTCAGGGACTAATTTTTTCTAAAGAAAACGTTGAACATTGGTTCAGATTTCTGTACATGTGTGTATTGTACAGTATGTTAACATGCACCCAACAACCAGTATGGTGTCTGGTATCAAATAAGGGTCGCATATAAATAAAGCACAGTTACACAACCTGACGAAGGGGCTGCTGTTGGCAAGGACTTGGGGAATCATTTTAAAGATATGGTTCCTAATTTCAAAATATCGTGTTGAGATTATTTTTTTCTCTGAAAGTTACTTTTGGTTTTGATGGATGAAGCACACGGATATCTTGAATGAAAACCCAGCGGTATTCTTTTTTCTCTATCACAAGGAAACCAGATGTCTTTCATAAGTATTATTGTTTTCAGGTAAATTTATTAAGAAATTGCACCTCTGCTTTCTGCAAAAATCAAGGAAAACACAAGGAAATTCCAAAAGACAAAGAAAATTATTTTGGAGGTGTGTAATATCAGCTGTTGAATCTCATTTGTAATATCTATACAGAACAGTTAGCGAGCACTGGCATTTCTGCTATTTTTCCAGGGTCATTAAATTGTGTGTTGAAATTTTCTCTGAACTCTCTGGCGGTGTTGTCCCAAGGAGTCCAAAACTTAAAATGTAACCTCACTTTTCAAAAGGTGCAGCAGGAAAGTCAATTTCTCAAGACAACTTCAAGCCCACAGAACCCATCAGCTGGACTTTTCCCCAAACCTGGTAAAATAAGAAGTGTGCATGTTACCACACTGCTTATGAAATTTTTTTTTTAAATCTGCTTATTTCAACCAGCAACGGTTTGTCATTAAATGTATCTTCAATGTTGCAATATATAGATATTTTTTCTGTATTTTAATCTTCCATGTACATTATGCTATAACCCATAGCACTGTTTTTAATAGCTATGGTTTCTGAGAATATTGCAATCCAAAGAGCAGATTAAACATCCAGTAAACATGTTTTGATGTAACTAAATTGACATAGAGTTGTTTCTGCTTGTTGTCATGCATACCCCTCTCCCCCCCCCCCCCCCCCCCCAAAGAAAAGTTAAACATATCAACTTTAAAAATGGGGATTCATTTGCTATTTGACATTTGAGCACCTAAACAAATTCCCAATGTTACAATGGTATCATATAGTCCAAAAGTAGTGGCAATATTTATTTGTGGCCTTAAATATCTATCTAAAGGTTTCCCAGAGAACAGTATTTATATTTAAAATTGAGTTTTAAGCCACACGAGGTTTTCGTGTTGTCCAATTAATTTCATGGTTGAGGTCTGTTCAGAAGATAATGTGTTCTTCAACTATTACTTATACTTGTTTAAAAAGTGTGGCCAACTGGAAATCCCAATGAAATGAAGAGCATTTTATACTACAGGGTATTATTTTATGCTAAATGAATGTGAATAAAGAATTCTTGTGCTGAAATAATCTTCAGAGAGCTAATTGCTTTACTTAAGAGGCACAGAGTGAAGCCATTTTTACAGCAGTATTGTAATTTTCTTTAGTGTAGTCATTTTTTCTGGATTAATAACTACAATTAGGTCTCTAAATTTTCATTGCTTTTAGAGGTTATAGTTCACATTTGCTTTCCAAAGTAACACAGATAAACCAATGCCTACAAATGTATATCTAGGTTTGAGGATTTCTTAATAACAAGAGTTGGATTCTTCATTTTCCTGTTAACTTAATACTAAACCTAAGTACTTGCATTACAATAATAATGAAACTAATAATAATAATAATTATTATTAGTATTATTATTATCACCGTTTTTTTCTTTAACAGTGTAGTTTGATGAAAACATCTTTTTTAAATATTATTTCTGATTATAATCAGCCACTCTTAGATTTTCATGCAGACTGAACATGAAAACAGTCTCCTACACATCTGCTGCATTAGCTTCTGATAGGAAATAGTGAAATGCTAAGATTTGAAAAGCTTCAGTTATCTATGTCACACTTAGAATTTGTATTTATGGCCTTGCCCATCTTAGCTCACGCCCATCCAAATGACGCCCTTTTGTTTGCAGTGAGGGGATAAAGGTGATAGGGTCTTTGCAACATGGTTGAACCAGAAAACTTCTGCATTTCAGAACAAGAGTGTCATCTTTTTTTAATGACTAATAAAGCATTCGTTTACACTAGAGAACGCTGAATATGTATTGAATAAACAAGTAGACTACTTCTTTAAAAGGGTAATGTGTAAGTAGAAGTAAAAAAACAAAACAAAAACAATGCTGGCTTGTTTCATGAGTTGCCAACTAAAATAACAAGAAAAATAGACTGTCAATGATGGAAAAAGAAAACATTAATGTAATAAAAGGTTGAGAAAGTGGAATCAGCAGTTACCAGAAACCAGAACAGGCAAGAAGTAAGAACTCACATCGAACTATAGACACTGATGAGTTTATTTGTAGGGATGGGGGATCACTGCTTGAGAACAGAAGAGATTATCTGAAGTGAGAAAATATGAGGGAATCAATGAACACGCAAATACAAATGTAAAGGTGTTTAATCAATAAACCTTCAATGGTCTCTAGTAGGAAAGAATGCCTTTTAAGTCCTAAAAAGGCCCAGAAGCACCTGTATCAGCACAAAGAAGTCATCTGGAGGAGAGAGTGGCAGAACGTGGAATGATTTGGAGTCTTATTTCCTCATATTTGGACATCTTTCCTCTGATTGGCTAACATAAGACGACTCCAACACTTACTTTGATGCTTTACCTCCACATATAACACAAGCATTGAGGTGTTCCTGCTGTGTGGTGGAGTTGCTAATGCTAACGGTTATCTTCTACTAGCCGAGACATTCCCTGCCTTAACAGCCTTCCCCGTTGCGAATCAAGATGGGTGAGTCCATGAATGTTAAGTGACATTGTGATGTACCTGTCAGGCTTTTCAAATTCTATAGTTTCACGATCTATTTCAGAGGTACTCAATAGCTGCCCCGCAGGCCAGGTCCAGATTTGTTTATGTGGTGTTATGATCTGCAAACCCCTGCAGGTGTACATAGGTGTTTGGTTATGTTGTGTAAGTTTGAGTAATCATCCGCCAGCATCACCATCGGACCGGACCTTGGGCTTCAAGGTCCTTTTGCTAAGTGGCCCTCGGACCGCTAGTATATCTTCTATCAGAAGCTAATGCAGGAGACAGCCGTTGGAGACTATTTTCATGTTCGGCCTGCATGGATAACTCAGAGTGACCGATTATAATCAGGTTTAACAATAAAAATAATGTGTTTTCCATGCCTTTAGAACATAACTCCTACCACCATGACTATTTTATGAAAGTAACCGTTTTTACATGATTAGTTTGATTGCATATATTAAAAGAATAAATAGGCACTCATAAACATTAGGTGTTTCTATGATATAGACCCTATAGAGATTTACTTATTTACCTTGCTTTAGATTGCCAACTATGGCTTACATAGTAAAAATATGTTCCAGTTTAATGTGACAAAAATGTCCACTGTGTTTGCAGGCAGGTTTGTATAAATATTAATATGTAAATGATAGAAATAAAATTGCCGCAGTGTAGAAAGCTTAACCTTAATGCTAACCCATTTGACCATGACCACTAGAATATTATGTTTGAGCAACTTCTAGAAAATGGCAACAAATATGTACTTTGATTTATCTTCTTGGACTGAAAATGGTGTTGCTGCCCACTAACCATCTGTAAAGCTTTGTGCTGTTTGCCTGCTGATCACAGACTGAATTCAAGACTTGTGAACCGATAAGAGTATGTTGGTTTTTGCGGCAGGGTATTTATAATCTTGAACAGTGTGAATTACTAATCTGCTTTGGGTTTAATTGTTTTTCCTATCCTCACTACTAGTTATGATAGAGAAGAAAATACCACTTTTCAGACTGGAATGAACCAACATTCAGAGAAAATATGCGTTTTAGCATCCACAATTGTGAAATTTTCATCGTTTAAAATGCTTAACATTAGCAGCTTTCCTCAAAGGCAAAGGGATTGTCTATTTTCTTTTTTTCATTTCATTTTTGACAAACATAAACTAAAATTGATCATCCACTATAGCTGAGAAATATTTCATTCCACTCTCGGCTGCATCTGTTGCCGAAGCACAACATATACTGGAAGGTGTCCAGTCACTACATTGTGTGAGAAATAGGAGAGCATTTTATTTATGCCTCAATTTCATGCAAGACAAACTTACAAGCCTCGCTTTATGGAATTATGACGGCATAAAACGACACAAGCAGTGAACAGCCAGATATCGCTGAACCAAGTAATCACTAAAACTTTGAAATCGATTTGCTAATGATTCTACGGTAGAGAAGTTGATAAAAAAGGATGAATAAATAAGTAGACTGTGTTTATTTTGTTTGTGACGAGCAATGTAATATCACCGCAACTGCATGGAAACTGGTCTGAGGCTAATTTGTCTTCCAGACATTGGACTTAGAGAATAAATAGGAATTTGAACTACAGTAAGCAGATTTGTTCATTAGACAAAAAGAAACCAATAATTGTCATATTCATTGTGATCATTATAAGAAATTGCATCAATTCAAACAAATAAGAATATGAAATAATCCAACACATAATCAAGCGTAACACAAAGAGACTTCAGACGGTTAGTGTAATGTTTGAAATGTAAGATCAGACTCAGCACTTTGTCAAACTAGAGACAATATGAATCTTCAAAACTACTGAACTAGTCCTAAACCTCAAAATAGCATCTTTGATTCATTTGATTACTTGCTTTGATCTGTCAGGAGCCTTTTTTTTCTTGCATCAAATCTGAAATAAACCTAAAAATACATACATATCTGTGTCATCCAAAAGATTTCTTGTTTCATCTTTTTTATGAAAGAGCAACATTAGAGTGGGATGTGGTGTGATTGATTTGGCTAATATTGGTCAATAATTGTATAATAATTAATTTGTGCCCTAAACTGTAGGTGAGCAATATATTGAATATCCTCAATATATCCAGCATGACATCAGGCAATCTCATATCGCAACAGTTGACATACTTTAATTACAATTTATTTGTTTTTTGTTTAATTAAGAGGCGGTGTACTTTCTGTTGCGTGCTTCTAATGCATCGCACTAGGTATTTAATCAAGGAGTAGAAAAAGGTCTTGAACATGTGTGTTTTTACAAGGATTAGTTATTTATCATACTGATCTGAACGGGAGCTGCTTGGCCCATCACCTGCGACTAATTAGCATGCTAACATATGCTACCACTGTATGTAACTGACAAATAGCCCATCAGAGCTAAAATAGCTTTTACACATAGTTAATAAAGAATGAGTGAGATAGATGATGGACTTTTTTGACTCATCTAACTAAGTAATGTATTTGCTAACAACTTTATTCTCTGTTAAATGTGCTGGCTCTTCTGCTTATCGCATTAGATGTAAATGAGTGTACCAATATTTTGGTAAAAGTCTGTTTCATTTCAAATTAAATTGACCAGTTTTTTATTCTAACCAAAGACAAAATGTATTAACTAGATTGATATTTAAACAATTTAGATTTTAGGTGCAGTCTCTCACCTTGTCTGTCAACAATGGAGTCTCCATGTTGTTTGATTAGGGTGCCACAAGCTTTGATTCACCTTAGTTCTAGTTTTAGTCACTATGAACTAGCCCTAGCTTGAAGAGTTAGAAGACCAGGTTCACTGAGAAACAATTGTTTACCTATTTTTCAAAAGCAGATCCTGACAAGATTAGTCGTCTACCCCATTTCCTGCTTTAGCTTCTGATAGAAAATGAACAGAAAATGTTTGTTTCAGAAAAGCGTGACAGATCTATATCACACTTTTAACATTAATGGACTCATCTTGGCTGGGATAGGGATGACTTTTGTTGGTTAAATGTCCAGGAAACAGCAGAGGATTAGAAAAACAAGTAAGCTAGTCAACTAGTAAAAGCTAACCGTTAGCATTAGCAAACACACATGACAGAAGTCTTTCAGCCTTGTGTTATTTGTGGAGACAAAACATCAATGTTGCATTGCAACCAAAGACGGTGATCTTGTTGCTGTTAGCCAATCAGAGGCGAGATGTCCAAATCCTGCGATCTGCTGCCACTTTCTCCTCCGGCCCACTTCTATGTCCTCCAACCGGAACCTCTAAGCTCTTTTTTTCCCCTGAGAATGACTTCCAAGGCATTCATTCCTTCTATAAACCCCTGCAAATGTATTAAAACTATGAGTAAAGTTGATCTTTAAGAAGCTGCATAACAGTCATCCAACTAACAAAACTTAAAAAAAACTCTTCCTTTCATCTTTCATCCTCAAATCACACATGAGAAATAAAACCAAATTTACTGTGTTACATGTGTATATTGATCAGTAACTTTAGCCCTTAATCAGATCGATAGGCAAATTGGTGCTGCATCTGCTGTGATGACTATCGTGGTGAAGAGAGCTTAGCCAGAAGGCAAAGTTGATCTATGTTCCTACCATCACCTATGGTCGGTAGCTTTAGGTAGTGACCCAAAAAACAAGATTGCAGAAACAAGCAGTCAAAATTAGTTTTCTCCACAGGGTGTCTGGACTCTCCCTTAGAAATAGGAGAACCTCGGTCATCCAGAGGGAGCGCGGAGTAGATCTGCTGCTCCTCCGCATCGAGAGGAGCTAGTTGATGTGGCCCAGGCATCCAGTTAGGATGCCTCCTGGATGCCTTCCTGATGAGTTTTTTTGGGCACGTCCAACTGGGAGAAGACCCAAAGGAAGACCCAGGACAGGCTGGAAAGATGCTTCTCGTCTGGCCAGGGAACGCCTTGGGATTTCCCTGGAGGAGCTGGCCCAATGGCTGGGGAGAGGGATGTCTGGACCTCTCTGCTTACCCCAGCTGCACACTGACTGCATCAGCGGCGCGGAACAGCAGCGGAACGATTTACTCGTGACAATCAGCACTTAAGTGCACACCGAGGGAGTCTCAGCAGCGAAGCGGCTTCTCTGCCGTGCTCCTCGCTCGACTCGTGAGATCACAAGATCCCTCGAGACTTCAACCAACCTCCTTGCGAGATCCCACAATGGCTCGAGATGTCAAAGGTTTTGGTTTGTTTATGCAATCTGCTATTAAACCACATTGTTATTGCTGTTTGATGTTATATATGTTGTTCCTCTCCACTCCCAGGAGTAAAGCCATGAAAAACACACCGCTGCACTTCTGGAACGATGCTGAGGAAATATGCTGTTAGGTCACACGTAAGCTTCATATATATGAAATTGCATTGCTGCAATACTTTTATTTTGAAAATTAATGGGGATTTTACACTGAAACCACATGTGATTTCCTGTCTAGCCCTATATCAACTGTGGAAATCTATGCTCACAGCAAAAATAGAACCAAATCCTATGTTAAGCAACGCAGCGCTTCTGGGTCGTGTCTGCACTGTAAAATAAAACATATTGTTTCAACTTAAAAATACGAGTGAAAGGGCTGCATTAAAATTTTGAGTTAAATGAAAAAACAAAATTTGTTGTCTTAACATTACCATATATTATCACAAATTAAACTCTCTTGTTATACCAACATGTTTTTAAGTTAGTTTAATTTATAATCAAGAGTTGATTCAACTTCTTTTAGTTTTTTTAACTTTAACCTCAATTAATAATTTTACGTTGTCAAAACTAGTTTGGGTATTGAGAGAACTGACTGGTACAGTCCGTGTAATCCATAAATGTATGTTGACTCAATTTAAAAGTATCAATTCATTTGGAAGAAATGTTTAAGTCAACTTAACTAAATCATTTAAAACATTTGCCATATTGCAAAAAGATGGGGGCACTGTATATTGGAAATTTAAAACATTTATATGATTAATTTATGTACATTTCACACAAAATGATCCATTTAGTGATAAATTTCACCTCTAAAAACAGAAGCAATACACACATGTTCATCAGCTCAGCTAGTTTATTTATTTATTTAGCAGTAATGAAGTTACAGCTCTGCAACATTTACTGAAGCTGTTTTGTTTTGTAATGAATAGTGAAAACGTTTTGGAACAGTCTGCACTCAAAAAAAAACATTAACACAGCATCAAGGTCTTATAGTTAGAACATATTTAGTGTCTTAAATGAGACAAGTAATTGCACATTAACTCAAGTGCATATACTTTTAAAGCATCTAACAAAACCTTGCACAAATAAAAACAATAAAATAAAATTCAAAATGATACAATTCAAAATAGTAGTTCTAAACAAATAGTGCACATTTTAATCTTGTCATCTATCATTTGGTCTTATGTTGACCTCTTTATTGCAATACTTTTTATCAACCTATGCATTTGATTGGCTTTGAACTGATATGACTATATTTTCTGATGGAATAAACCTAAACAGATGAAATAACAAAACAAGAATTCCAAACCATGTGCCAAACTTCTATATGACCTTTGGAACAATGTTTAACAGGAAACGTTGAGTGCTTTCAAAAAGCTCAGACATCCATGAGTCATGAGATGAGACATTTCAGGAGAATCTACATGGTTTTTTGTAATAGTCTGTTTCTCAAACCATGCACAAGGGAGGAACACTGACCTCCGCCGATGTTCATCAGGACCTTTTGAAAAACTTCAAATGTGTACCTGAGTTCCTTTGGATAGTGTATATTAAAGGCAAAAAGCAGACCCATCAGTAGAGCAATGGCATGAGGAATGTCTTCCACATCAGGCAGGACCACTTGTTCCTCAAGAATGACTGATGTGGCAATGATGTCCTCTCCATCTTTCACCAGCAGAACTCCAATTTTCATTCCCCGAGTGAGTGTGGCTTCCTCGTCAATGGCCTACACAAGTTATAAAGCAAATTACTCACTATGACCCCTTGCAATATTTGGATAATTCTACAGACAACCTTGTTAAAAGGAGACTAGGCGGTTTTGCTTGTTTTTAGTGCCCCCTGGTGTCTGTCTGTGGTCAAAGCAGAATTGAAACGTACTGTATCTCCTCGCTGTGCGTTTGCCCTTTTAAAGGCATACTTTGCAACTTTTTCATATTTCAGAGTTTCCCCCAGCGCTTAGCAGGCTTTGTTTGCCCATCCGCCAGGCTAAGCGTCATGCCCGCCCCCTCTCCCCGACACGAACTGCACAACAGTCCTCCATCAGCTGATACTGGTGAGAAACAGCAGCGGAACGTGTGCAACCCCCCCACCCCCCCTCTCATGGAGAGCTGCAGAACAGAGGACGGTAAAGGTTGGTTTATGCTTGACGCGTCCGCGAGGTCCGCACGGAAAAGTTGCGTCATTTTAACAACCACGGCCCTCCACCGCATCTCCACACGGCCCAAAACTTCCGCAACGTGCACCTAGGAAATTTTCTAAACACGCGGACGGTCGGACGCGGAAAAACATGGCGGACCGGCAAGAACTAGTATGGCAGAGGTTGGTAAATACAGACATTTGTATGATTCAGCTCTCAGAGATCACCTTGATCAACATGTTGTTAATAATTCTTGGAGAGAAATAGCTCGCACTGTCGGAAAAGACGAGGAGGCTGTTAAAAAATGCTGGAATGCCATGTTGTAAACAGTAATTTCTACTTCTACTATGGTGTAGTGTTGGATGCATGCCGTAGAGCTCCATGCTGCCCCCTACAGTTTGGGAGAATATTGGCTCACCGCAGAGACGAGCCGCATGAACCATAAACGCTGCGAGTTGTGAAGCGTGTTCCATCCGCGAGCCGCATCACCGTGCGGAAAGTAAATGCGTCAAGCATAAACCAAGCTTAAGGGTCTGTGTGACATTTCATCACCCCAGCAAAGGTTCATTTTAGCACATACTGGCTCCAGAAAGTGATTTAATAATGTGAAAAAGTTGCATAGTATGGCTTTAAAACCCTTCTTTGTATAACTACATCTAATATCACATCACTACTTTCACTTATAACGAAATTGTTCACAGATCATTTTTGATACAAATGCTCACCTGAACAGTCTTGAATGCATTTGAAGGATCATCCTTGAGAAAATACGGAAGGCACCGGAAGAACAACTGACCTCTTCCTCAGCATAGAGGACTGAGAAAAAACAAAGACAAAACAACTAATTATAAAGAGAATAACAAATTATTGATATCCTGATTCTTTTATTCTGTTTTCTATATTTAATTGATTAGTTGGACATTTTCACTTCAAATAATTCTTTCAAACCTGTACTGCAATAGAAGTCTGCTACAGAATTTGTGTTGACTGACAGTTTTTCTGTTTTTGTTTTATTGGGAGGGGGATTTGGCAGCCTTTTGCCATTTTTTTAATTCTAAATACTATAGTTTTCGGAATAGAATTTTTCTGATAAGTTTTTCCAACTCTGACCTATCACTATAGGAAAGCTACCGGGGTTGTGGTAATTCTGTGTAGAAACATGCTTTTTTTTTTTTTTTTTGCTAAATTTACACAGGCAGATTGTTTCAAAGATAATTACAATTTGATGGATTTCCTAAAAGGCATGACTAAATTCTATTCACCCAAAGACAATAACCCAACAAAATGTTAACATAATTTTCTTCTTCTCTATATTAGAAAATAGAAAATACTGTTAAATACTGAAAACTGGTAAAACTGTAAATAATCTCCAAAGGAAATGTTACTAATACTAACAAAAATATGTGAACATTTATTTGCTTACGTCATCAAGACATTTAAGCTGCCTGCTTAGTCCAGCTGATTTCCCACTCTTGGCCTTGAACAGCTCCAGGAACCTTGGCAAATGCTGATCCAGTCCACTGAAGAAAGACTTCTTAGGTCAACAGATGTCAGCTGAGCAAACTGGAAATCACACACACAGCATAAGTCTAAAATGACCGGTAGTGTCAAAATAAAAGTCTGTTACATAGATGCGATTTATTATCGATGTAGATGATGTCCACGCGTGTAACCTCACGGCTGATTTACCCTCAGCATGGTTCGACAAGTGTTTTTCACGGTTTTAACCCTGGTAGTGGAGAGGCACGGCAGTATACATGACATCAAACAGAGATCTTAAACGTGATGTAAATTGTCTTCTTGGTTTAATGGCGGATGGCATAAACAAACCGAGACATTCGAAGTCTCGTGGGATTGTGATCGCGCGAGTTTAGCGAGGAGAACGGCTGAGATGCTGCGAGATTCCGCTGCTGTTTCGCGCCACAGATGCGCCCATGTGGACCCGGCTTTGAGCATTTAGCATTTAGCTTAATTTTATGAGTATACATTTTCGGGAAAAAGGTTAATTAACGTGTTACTGAGTAAACATTTCCCAAAACAATTTCCCCGCCAACCCTGCTATGCTAACCAACAAACAGCGAGTTACCTACTTCTAACGTTCAAATATAAGATATACTAAGTTGCATTCAACATTAAACTTAGAATTACACGATTTACTTTCAGGTTCAGACCTTTTATTTATTCATTACACTATGACTAATCGAGCTAATGCTATTTAACAACTAACACATTCAACATAAAACCAAAGAAAACTTACCAAAGTGGTGGGCCTCTGTTGAACTGGTTCAGTGTCACCTTTAGATGGACAAAGTAGTTGGTTTTAACCCTAATTGGAGTCGTTAGTCCTTCTGAAGCAAGCCGACAGAACATTGCCCACGTGAGACTGCTTGACTGAGCCCAAACTCCGTGGACTTCTTCTTCCGTTATCATAGGCACATGCGAAACAAACTTTGTGCCACTTACCGCCACCCAGTGGACATACATTTTAATGCTCAAAAGTCAAGTAGACTTGGATAATTTATTTGACTGGACATAAAATTATTGTTTAACATTTTTAGTGTTGTTGAGATGTGTTTAACTAATTATTCTAATTTATCACAACAACAATACAAAAGCCTTGTTATATTAACATGAAATCAAACGTTGGGACAACAAAAAGGGGTAAATGCAATTTACAGTGTGAAAATGGTTGCGTCGCAGCTGGTTTGCAACACTCCATAGACTCTAATGGACTCTATTTGAAGCAGTGACGTTCTGCTGCTGTTCTACGCCACTGATGCTTCCAGTGTGCAGTAGGGGTAAGGCTGCTGCCTCCCCGACCTGACTCTGGATAACCGGCTGAAAATGGATGGATTGATGGATGGACTTTAATCTTTGTGTAACATACACACAATTATTATAAGATTACCCCAAATGGCCTATTTTACCCAACATTCACCTGTGGTTTTTAGTAAAGGTTCAAGGTGATTACAATATAAGGCTCTCATCCTAAGCCAAGCAGTGAATGCCTAATAGTTTTTTTTACTGAAGTAATGTGTTTAAAATACTTGAAGCATATATGTTTAATATTCTTGGGGGCTCAAGAGATGAAGTTGGACTCAACAAATAGCAGCACATTTCACTTAGATCCTCAAGATTTGTTGAGAATGTCCGTGCCATTAATCACAATCCCTACATCCGGTGGTTCATTGAATGAGTTGTAGCTCTGCAGCAAGTTAATCTTCATCACCTTCTGAGCTAATCCGTCTTCTACAGCACTGACTGGTGCATCGGCAGCAAGCTGCAGACATCATAAAGATAACTGCTTTGTGCTCATTTTTACCACATGTATCTCAAAGACAAGAACACCGACAATGAAAGAGCACTGCTGCACTCTTCCCACCATGTGCTTTCCTTTTGCTCATTTAAGATCTTGGATAAGATCCAAGGTGAAGGACAAAAAAAAAGAAATAGAAAATTTGCCATATGGTGCAGAAGAACAAGAAACCAATAGAGAGAGATTATTATAAATAGATCAGTAGGGTATCTGAGAGGTATTTTAGATTAAGATCATAATCTGTTCTCGAGCGAGGGAGTGTGTGATCCGCACTTCAGTTTAGAAAAAAACAAAGATAAATAAGATATTAAACAATGCATGCAGAAACATTTACGATCATGAAAAGAAGCAAAATTATTGAGTGATGTGGAGTCATGACAAGACTTTTCCAACTTTAACATAATCAATCAAGGCAATATTTATAGAGTGCCTTCCACAACCCTCTACGGGAGCCCAAGGCTCTGGACAAAGCACTTAAAAAAAAACTAGAACGCAGTACAATAAATAAAAATAATATAAAAAGATGATACAAGTATTAAAACATGGATTAAGGACAATTACACGGGGACTTTCGGTGACGCCATGTTGGAGACAGCAGCTTAGAACCGAGTTCCGTCGGTACAAGGACTAATTTCCTAACTAAAACAACTATAACTTGGCAAATTTACACAACATAGATATGGCAACACCCCTGAGAGGTAAAGGCTCCAAGCAGGACCACATGAAAAACAACCATGAAAATCTGAAAAAGCTAACTTAGACACAGACACACGGCACAACAGCAGAAGCGAACACAAGCAACATAGAATCCAAAATAGCTGAGCTGGAGAAACTAAGGAGAAAGAACCTGGATGGACATACAAAAACCCGAGAGTCGCTGACAAACCTTGAATCCTCCATGAAAGAACTTAACGGAGAAATAACAAAACTTGAGAACAGAATGGCGGAAATGGAGGAATGGATTAGCGCTGCGGAGGACTCAGGGACGAGACACTGGTTAGCCAGACGATACCTGACAGCCAGATATGAAGATCTACAGAATAGATAAAGATGGAATAACTTACGAATATACGGAGTGCCTGAAGGGAGCGAGGGACAAGATATAAAAGCCTTTTCTAAGGATCTGATTTAATCAACCCTCCCGCCGATGCCTGATGTGAATATATAAATCGAGAGAGCACACTGGTCAACAACAGCCAAACCAAAAAACCCCTCAGCTGCACCGAGGTCTCTCATTGTCAAGTTTTTGGACTACTCTGTGAAGGATGCAATTTTACGATTAGCATGGAGCCAAAGACAGATCTTCCATAAACCATTTTGAAAATGATTTGATCACCAGAGATGCAAAAAAAGAAAACCCAGGTGCGGATGGTGATCAAACAGTTAAAGCAAAAAAAAAAAAACATCAGTGCCAAATGTATCTACTCGGCACAACTAAAGTCCCTCAATGCAAGCGGCAAAAAAAAAAAAAAAAGAAAAGAAAAAAAAACACGCAACACTGATACATGAAATGCCAGAGCTACAAGAGATCGGGATCCAGGTTCGGGTGGGCAAAACCCTAAATGCTGGAGGAACTGTGATATGTTTGGAGACCATACCTACATATTCTGGGACTGACGTCTTTCCCGAATGGTTGAATTTTTGGACAAAGAAGAACTGGAGAAAATTCTGGCAATGGACTTACCTATGGAGTCTTTGCTTTTCCAGCTGGATGTGTTTCCTGATCAGATGCTGACTTCAGAACACAGTTATCTATTACATATCTTGTTGATGATAGCAAGAAAAGTGATTACTTAACTGGATGAAACCAAAACCCTCTGTGATTGCTCAATGGCTACTGAAAGTGAAACAGGTATACATGATGGAACACTTAACTGCCTAGCTTCAGCTTAATATACCTATTTTTATGAAAAGATGGACCCCAATAGCTGAATACTTCAAGTATTGACACCTACGACACAATATTCAATCTTTGCCTGAACACCTAGTGCTAGCAATACAACAGGACATACTCTATACACAAACATAATTATATAAATAAGACATGCTCTAACTAAAAAGTCACACATATGTGACAGATGATGAAACCTAATCTCAAGAGGTTCAAGTTCCTGATTTATATGGGTGTTTTATGGATGTTTTCATATCTAGTGGTATTTCATGTTCTTATCATCGACATATATATATGGACAATGGGTTTCCATAGCTCCAATAACATGTTTTTGATCCCAAATGGGAGGTGGCCACCACCGCCATTTTGACCGTGTCACAGGTTCTGTCAAGCCCAGACAATTCCATAAAAGGGAAGAGAGGAGGAGCTGAGGGTGGGGCTGTAAGGCTGGGATCAACTGACGACACCCGGTCGAACTAGCTACAAGCTAACCTTAAGCTAACCCAAAGCTAACACGGAGGTGGGAGCCGAGCTAACGGATGTAGCCACCTAGCTACAACCGGAGCCAACTCTGTGGAACACCCATCGACCGCATGGAGTTCAGGTGGAGGTTTGCAGCACTTTTTCATGAGAAGTACCTTTCTGTGAATAAAAAATATTAAATCGGTAAGTTTATAAGTTAATTCCGTAATGAAAATGTATTTTGCTTCGAGCAAGTTTTCACTATTTTTCACGTACCATATTTTCAGGACTATTAAGTTGCTTCTGAGTCGCACCAGCCATTAAATGTATGACGAAGAAGAAAAAAACATATATAAGTCATATTTTGGGGGGAAATTTTATTTTTCTTAAAAAAATCTGAGACAAAGCGTTTCACATTGCAAGACAAGTACCGGTAACAACAACGAATAATGCGCCACAGCAGTGCGCCACGGTCTCCAGCAGAGGAAGGCGGTGTTTGAAACCCTCTCAGCGGGACAGGGGAACCCATTCTTGGGTCGGAGTCGGCCCGCAGCAGCGCGGTGTAGCCTACATGTTTTGTTATACGTCGCTCCGGAGTAGCAGGACCGGCCAGACTATGAAAAAAAGTGCGATTTATAGTCCGGAAAATATGGTAGTTATTAGTATTTGAGATAAATTAGCAGGCTAAATATATTTCATATATTTCCAAAACGTAATACTTGTTTGCATCTTGTTCAGCCAACTAGCCTTTATTCTGGACTCAGTACAATTCACCAAAAGTAAAGAGACATTATACAGATGAAGTAAGCACAAGATAACTTACTGGAAGAAACAGAATTATTATCATGAGAACCAGAACAAGACAGCCTGATGACAGTCATGTGAAAATAACAGTTAAAAAGTATGTATGTGTAATAGAAAATAAAAATATATTAGAATTAGTGTAACTCACTGTGATCCAAACAATAAATCAGCCATAGCTGATTAGCAATCACGAAATGAGGTCTGGGAGTTTTTAAGTTTCATTCTTTCATTACATTTTTTTCTTAGATCTGTTAAAAGGTCACCATGGCAGCCTGTGTGTCTCCAACATCAGCTACACAACGCAGCAAGTGTAAGTGCCAAATACCTGTCTTGACCACTTCATGTATGGTTTTGTACTTTAAACAGCTAGGCCAAATCTGTTATTTTTTCCTCCATAGCCATTTGGATCATCGGTGACAGCTGAGTGAGGTGTGGTGCCCAGAGAGCTGCAGAGACCCTCTGAGACAACCTTGGCCTCCCTGACGTCCGTGTCTCCTGGTTTGGTTGGGGCGGACTGAGGTGGAAAGACCTTCTCCCCTTCGTTTTCAACTCCATGCATGGAAGAGCAGCTCCTGATGTCCTTCTCATCCACTGTGGCGGCAATGACATGGGGGTTGTCAGCAGTGTGAATCTGGTGAACATGAAGAAGGAGGACCTGCACCGGCTTCACCTTCTACACCCTCATATCACACTGTTGAGAACTGTTCTTCCTTCACAACCCAATGTTCAACTCACTCTGCAGCTCTCTGGGCCCCTTTAGTTATTTTAAGTATTTTTTAAATGTTCCAACACTTTGTGTCCTGTTATTTTATAAAATGTGATGTAAAAAAATAAATGTTTTTGCTCAATTACTGGAATTTCTTTGGTTAAGACAAAAAAGGAAGGAAGAATCATTTATGCCAAGTTGTTTCTACAACAGGCCTGTTTTAAGTCCAACACTTTCTTTGCAGCCAATAGAAATGTGTTCTTTACTAATTTTACTTGGTTTAAAAATCTTACTAAACTAAACAGAGTGCTGTATTTCAAAACCCAATCATACTTGTTATGTAAATATTAGCTTTGTAGATATTTTTTACAGATAGATATTTGTGTGCTTAAAAAAAACCATAAACTTAAATTATTTGTCATTCTTTATTGAAAAACAACAAAATACAGGTAAACAGAAAGTGTGGGAAAATGATCATGTAAATGTATTGCTCTTTAAATGTAATACTATTTATCTTTAAAAAGAAAAACTCTAAAAATGTCCTGTACAGCAACATGACAGAAGAAAGGTGGTCTGTCTGTCAGAATGTGCTGAACAGATTTGCTCTATCAAGAGGAGCGTTTTGTGTAAGAGTTTATGTTATTGTAATATTGGTTTGGGTTATGTATCTGTGACATAATCCAGGTGGAATGGAAGGTGCCACTAATATTAAAAGGATTAAAATAGGTTCTAAAAAAAACAAGGCATGCAGTGCGACAGCCAAAGCAAATTAAAAAGGGACATTTATTACAAAACCCTGATGATGACGCCAAGGAAAAAAAAAGTGTTCAATCGAGTGTGCGCAGGGCCCCAAGGGACAAGGCGGTCCAGTCCAGCCCTGCTGAGCTCTCGACCAAGGAACCTCCAAGGCCGTCGTCATCGTCTGGGAACCACAGGATCGCCGCACGGTGGATCCAATCCGCCTCCTCCTCGGCCCGGCCCCTGTGGCACACAACAACTCTGGCAGTAAATAGGTCCCCGGCACCAGACCACTTACAGAGAGAGAGCAACTCTAACACTGCCAGGCACTGATCAATTACTTACGCGCGGAGGCAGAGTAACTCTGCCCGCCTGCCGTGTTGCGCCCTGTGCCCTGGCGTCTCTGGCCGCGGATCTCTCTCCCCGCTGTTGCTGCTGCTTCTCCTGCCGCTGCTGCTGCTGTCCGTGCCACCAGTGGATCTCCTTCCAGTCCTTGCGGAGCTCGCGGTGTCCGTCTGGCTCCAGCCGAGTATTTTCCTTTCCCCTCACGTTTCCGTGTCTCCATGTCCGCTCCCTTAAATAAACAAAACTCTCCGCCCATTCACCTCCCGCCCTGCCTCTGTTCATTGTTTGCCAGTTCAGTCCACACCCCGCTCCCAGGTGTGGGTAATTGGGGAGGATTAACACAGATGGGATGCAATGTTGCAGCAATCACTAAAAACACCCAAACAGTTAAAAATCAACCTAAAAGCACCTAATCAATTAGAAAACATGCAATATAAAACATAAGAACATTAAACATAAGAACAACATTACCACTCTGTGACATATCGCCACATTAGCATGTAAATGCTGAACCAATCTGGAATAAAGAGGGATGCTGACCAGTAGAGGTGGTTCACCACACTTTGCTTCCACAGTTTAGCATCCAGGGTCATCTTTCTCTTCCCCAGCTCTTCGATTTTCTTACCAATTCACGGAGAGCCAAATAGACCCACATTTAAAATAGAAAAACAAAATCCTGTAATATTCACTATATACATCCCCAAAGATTACCTTTTCCCATGTGCCAGGGGTCAAAGTAGTGACTGATTTCCTTTTTTCCTCCCACAAATACTTCTGCACCCATGTGTGGCGGTCAGTCACAACTTGCTGCACACCGACCCCCCTCTCCAAAAGTGTGCTCAGACTTCGCACAAATCCCTCCTTCTCCATTCGCACACTATTTCCAACTTCATTGCTCTGAAAATAAACATAATTCTCCTTTGATCTGTGAATAATTAACCATGAAATGTATTGGTATCATCAGGTAATGTTGTACCTGTACGAGTTGGATATCAATAACTTTGTTTCTTTTGAGATCCATCATGGTGTAGCTGCCATATTTGGCTGAGTGTCCTTCAGAAATGCAAGTTATTACTTAATTTACATTTGATAGCAAAGGAATAAAATAAATACATTTAAACATATTCACCAGGTGAATCAGCTCGCATATCACCACCAAGAGTCACGGGGCCAGATTCAGTAGCCTCCTGGATGAAATCAGCTTGCTCTAGATGCCACTGCCAGCTAACTTTTGGAATTAACAGCTTTGCCTGATGTCGATAGAATGTCTGCTTGGACAGTCCCTGCACATTGAATGCACCCAGGAACTAAAATATGAAAAGTTACGTCATGAAATGAGAGATGCACAGACCTTATCAAAACGAACCTTAACATGTTTGGCCTATACCTTAGAAATCTGGCTAAATGATGAGCCAGACTTTCTGGAAGATGAATTTCCATCGTGGTCCCTGTGTCACAAGACACACAGCGGCTGGGAGCTCTAAACTGGGTGGCTATATAAAAAACAAAGAAACAGCACATTTATAAATGTTTAAAAGAACATAAAATCACGTGTAACAATAATCTGTAAAACAAATTAAAACTAGAAGGTAATAATAAAATGTTTACATAGACGATTATTAAAAATAATTCACCTTTGCTACGGGTAAGGCTTCACGTCAGGCTGGACAAATGCATTCTTGCAGACTACTAAATCAGTCTGACAGCCAACGTCTTGGGTAGATTTAGCCTGAAAAAAAAAATAGAAGCACATTGTTGTTGGAGTTTATAAAGTCAGATATTATACAAAAGAAACTGTCAGATATAGGCGCTTTATAACATTCCTAGTGTGTGGTCGTTATTATAACATAAAAGTCAGTCACATATGATGTGGAGAGCCTGAAATGCGACCTCCTGAACAGAATTCCTTACAGAACCGGGTCACGCTGTGCTGGATTTCACGCTGTAATGATGTCTGTCAACTAGTGCTGCATTAGTTAGAGTCACTGTTGCAGAATCGACTGATACAAAAACAATCAGAATTTTCTCCGAGCCTGACAGTAATAGTCATGTGGACCATTTCGTCGGCCAGGGCTTTGAGATATGTTCCAATTTGCCGCTGATTCTAACCTTACATCCCGTTCCACATTTTGTGAACTTGACAAATTAGCCCGAAGGCAGTGCAGACCTAAGTGAACCACGTCTCTCAAACTTTGCATTTAGGTAGGGAATTGAGCTGCAGTATTTCTGCAGTCAGGTCTCTCTACGAGTCCGAGAGCTCCACAAGCGGTCAGCCCCGTCCGAGAGCTCCACAAGCACTTAGCCCCGTCCGAGAGCTCCATGAGCGGTCAGCCCCGTCTGAGAGCTCAACGAGCACTCAGCCCGCGCAGCAGCTAGTAGGCGTCGCATCGGTCAGACATGCACCGGGCTGACCACCGGGGAGAACCGGGGGGAAGAATGGAACGCAGAAGTGTCCCTCCAAGAGCTCCGTCATATTTCAACCAATTTTTATGTTAAATGCACTGGGTTTTACCCTTTTACCCATCGACATATTCCCTATTAATTATTTTACCGTATTTTACATCTAAATTTCACGTTTAAACAGTACATGCTACATGTTAAAATGATAGTTAGCTAGCTACTTCGATAAACTCAGCTAGTTTAAAGGCAGCAGTGACCTAAATACATACATATAATTTAACTTACCGAAAAAAATGAAGTGGAGACTCCTTGGACGCTCTATTAATGCAATTAATGCCACAGCAAGTCATTTTGTCCAACAATTGCACAAATAATATCCAAAACAGAATACACAAACAGAGAGACTCAAAATCTCGAAACTGTTTCCAGGCCAGACCTAGGCTCTACTGAGGCCTTTCCACGGAGCTAGCTCTGTGGTCACGTGGGTCTGAGGCGGCGGTCACGTGGGTTGGATGCTCATTAATTATACAGAATTTTAGACTTTTAATACACTTAAACAGAAGAGTGAGAAAAAAATTCACCCCCTCAGAGTTGTCATGAGTGTAAACTAGATAATTTAAACCGAAAACATGTTTTGGTACCAGGCTGTAAACATGTTGATTTCTGCTGTGAAATTGGTATTTTTAACATGGGAGTCAATGAGGATTTGCTCGCTTCTGACACCAGCCCCCAGCAGATGAGGGTGGAACTGCAATTTTTGGTACTTCCGGGTTGAGACCATTTTCTGAGCCGCATTGTGGGGGCTTGGGTTCTTATTTTATTTCTGTTTCTTCCCAATATGGATACCATATTTGCTTCAATACTCTAAACACCTGTCAATGTTAATTGCCTGTTTATATGCAATTAAGGCCATAAAGTAAAAAAAAAACAATCATAACATGGATTAAGAAGGAATACTAACCCAGCCCAGCAAAAGCATGATAAAACACAGAATCAAAACAGGAATAAAAATACGTAGAAAAGGCAACACAAATGAGGGCCACTCTCAGACATAATCAGGGAATGCTAAATGAAAAAAAAAAGAGTTTAAGCCAACTCTTAAAAACTGGCAGGGATGGAGATAGCCTAATGGGCCATTCCCATCTGTACCGGGTCGGCCCGGGCCGGGTAGCGTAGGTTGTTTACATATCTGGGTGGCCTGGTATTTTTCCGGGCCAACCAAGGCTCATTCTCAGCCCTCTTCTCGAGGGAGTCTGCTTCAGGCCGACCAGGGCCGACACACCCAGTGCTGACAGCAAATTCACACCTTCCATTAGAGCAAGCCTCTGATTGGTGGGTAGAATCAGCCCATTCACACCTTCCATTAGAGCAAGCCTCTGATTGGTGGATAGAATCAGCCCACATGGGCTTAAGACAAGGATGTGTGGAATCAACCGGGCCAGGCTGGGGCCGACTGGGGCTACCCGGCCCGGGCCGACCCGGTACAGATGGGAATGGCCCATAATTGAGAGTGGCAGCTGGTTCCAGAGTGAGGGAGCTAAAACTGAGAAAGCCCTGTCCCTATGAGTCCAAAACCTGGTATGAGGGACAGTGAGCAGACCCTTATTAGAGGAGTGCAAAGAGTATGGTGGAACATGTCTATTCAGGAGTGCAGTTAAATAGAGGGGACAGCTCCTTGAAAGAACTTAAAAACAAATACCAAAAGTTTAAATCATACCCGAAAACAGACCGGAAACCAGTGCACGGAGGCCAGCACCTGACTGATGTGATCCTGTTTCCTAGACCCAGTCAGAATCCTATCAGCACAGTTCTGCACTGTCTGAAGACGACGCAGTGATGACCGACCCAGTCCAGCATAAAAAGAGTTATATTAATCTAGCCTTGAGATTACAAATGCATGGAGTACCTGCTCAAGGTGGGCATTCGACAGCATGAGCTTGATTTTGGAAAGGCGATGCAGATGGAAAAAACAGGACTGTATCACCGAGTTTATGTGAGCATCAAACAAGTCCAGAGTCATTTCTCACCTCCAAGTCAGTGACAACTGGCTTCAGAAAGGGACAGAAGGCCCAGTAGTCTCATTTATCAAATATTGCGTAGAATCCTTACTAAAACCGTACTTCAGCTCAACAAAAAAAATGTACTTACTCCTGGCAGGTTTGTGATCTATCAAACATGGAGTACGCACAGCTGCACGCAATCTCCCCTTCATGATTCGGAGACTAACGAGAATGTTTCTCAGCTGCATTTTAGTCACATCCCGCCCTCACCACACCCACTTACTGACATAAATAGTCAATGCAAAGTGCCTTGTGGATCTCATGCATATACATAAGCTGGCTTGTTGCAGCATTTCGATCACGACCGCAGATCAAGGAAGCGCTATTTCACAAGCAGAAATTCAGGTACTTGTGAGTGAGGTGGAGAAATGAAAGGAAATGCTTTTGGCAAAACAAATAAGAGAAAATCCAGAGTGGCACAGGGTTGCTGAAGCCGTCAATGCTGAGTTCTTCTGAGAAATCTTTGGTGGATATAAAAAAAAAAAAGATCAGATCAGGACTCGATCTCCAGACTCCTGGGTGAAAGTCACGCGCGCTAACCAGTCAGCCAAACACAGATATTCCTTGTTCAAGTAGCCAGGGCGCATGATCAATCAGGTCACAGTGACAGGACACACACTGTCATAGATGCATGACATTCTGTCTTGACCTGTCCCCCTGCTGATTTCTGCATTCCATATTCTGGCTTCAGGCTGTGTGTGTGCACGTGCATGTGTGTGTGAGTGTGCATGCATGTGTGTGTGTGTGTGCGCGCTTGTGTGTGCGTGTGGGGGGTCTTGTTCTGTGTGAAAACGAAGCAGTACAAGTGATAATGCTGCAGGATTTCATAATTTTATCCTTCTCAGCAGCAGCACTGCAGGTGATCTCCATGTCCAAAATGTGCGTAAGCAAGGTCCTTAGTCAACTTAAAGTTGTGCACATTTTCCCGCTACGTTTTCTTTCATAAATCCCAAAGTTTGCGTGGAAAGTTGCTTATGCAGTTTTCCGACCCTGTTTTGTGCGTAAGCAGCCTTGAAAAATGAGGCCCCAGATCAATATTTGGATCCTCCACCAGCCCAATGTTTGGATGAAAAATAATTACCTCTGTTTTACCCTCATTAACATGCAGATAGTTGGCCGCTAGCCAAGACTAACCTTGTTGAAACGGGACATAAGGGACATGATAGAAAGGTAATTCCCCTGACGCAACGAAAAGTAAATCTGACAATATCTGACTTATACAGATGGAACTCAAGGCCATGTCTGCAGATGATTGACCCCAGAGGAAGTCAGAGGAAAATAATGATATTTTAAACTATAAGAATCTCAATTTGAGCTACATGTTGCTTTATGGCAAGTGCCGTTCTCCAAGTTGCAGCACTACGTTTCATTAGAGACTTTAAAGTCTCTAACAGGGATGTAAATATGGACAAAATGTTTTTCAATACGTGTTTAAGAATTTACATTTATAATCTTTAAAGCACAAGTCGCCTGGCAGACTGAGAGGATGGTGCTAAAGCAGTGACTGACAGAAGTGAATTTATAGAACAAGCTAGGTCTTGAACACAAACACCATCATAGAACACCCACCCATGCCCTTGAGTATTTTCCCTGAGATGCTTCTGATGGAATCAGAAACCCACATTCCCAGAGGAAATGACAGAGTGCTAAAAACC